TTTCTGTGTCTCAGCCTCAGTTTCTTCATTTGTAAAATGGGGCTCGTGATCTCTGCTTCGTGGTGTTGGGAGAATTCAGCCAGATGTTGGTAGGGGACAGCTAGCTGCCTTAGAAGGTCCCTTAGGTGCTGAACCCATAGAACGTGTGCTGTCAATCCCTCCTCCCCTCTTAGAGTCTGTGGCAGTGAGATTGAGTGGGACATTTATATGAAGAACATCCTGGGGACTTTAATAGGAATGAAAGATCCTTGCATTGGATCTGCAGAGCGCTTTCAGTAGTATGGTGTTTTTTAATAATATGAATTCTGCTTATCCAAGAACGTGGGAGGTCTTGCCCTCTTCTGAGGTCTTCTACAATTTAGGGATGAGGGTCAGAAAAAAAAGAAAGACAGTGACATGAACCTGACCTGACTTTGCTCTGCACATATACGAATACACCACAGTAAATCTCCACATCATGTACAAATACAGGGCTGAAACCTAATTAGAATAAGACCTATTTCATGGTTGTATAAATATGTCAAAGTAGACGCTATTGTCATGTAGAATTTAAAAGAACAAAAAATAAAATAAATATGAGCCGGGCACAGTGGCATACTCATGTATCTCAGCAGTTCAGGAGGCTGAGGCAGGAGGATCATGAGTTCAAAGCCAGCCTCACTAAGAGTGAGGACCTAAGCAACTCAGTGAGACCCTGTGTCTAAATAAAACACAAAATAGAGCTGGGGGTGGGGCTGGGTCGAGTGCTCCTGAGTTCAATCCCTGGTACCCCCCCAAAAACTAATTAATTAATAAGAAGTGTGCATAAGCTATAAACATTCAAACCTTTGCATAATTACAGATCCAAAACTAAAAGAAAAAACGGGGAGCAAGAGGTGGAAAAATAATGGACTAAGTTTTTTTTACAAGCTTGATGAAAGAATATTAACCAAAAAAATGGAAGGAATCCTAGATCAAAATATCGTCAAAATGAATGGAAATCCTCTTGCTGAGACCAGGTTAAGAATTATACAAAATTCCTTGTAAACTTAAAAAAGTTGTAAGTATAGTTTCTGATTCAGAATATTGACATTACCGATACTTTAGAATAAGTCTTCAGAAGTTCTGGGAGAAAAGAGAATGTTTTTTAAAGTAAAGAAATGGGGGACATTCATAGTGGTGCACACCCGTAACCCCAGAAAAAATCCTGACATCCCAAAATCTAAGATTAATGGGCATAAATATTATTTTCCCAAGTTTTAGGAACTTGTATTCCTGGATATTTTGTCACCAGGAATGGGAAACAACCACCACCTTTTCTCTTTAAATATCCTTGCAACCTCACTGTCATGCACCTAAGTGGTTGAGTACAGGGTCAGGATTGACCCTATTTGCTTGTAATTTGTGAAATTAGTTTTGGACAAGAAATGCTTCGTGAGGAAATCCTAGCAGATGTTTTGCAGTAATGCAGGGTCACCCTGTGTAAGCTGAGGTTTTGATATAGAACCCAACTTCCTTCTAAGGTCTTTGAAACTTGGAAAAATTACACAGAGTACAGAGTCACTTATATCCATAGTATTTCTATTTGAGTTATGATATGGTCAAAATATACACAAATGACAATGGCACTTTGCATTTAAACTGCCAGAAAGCAGGAGGTTGTCTTAAAAGCAGAGCCCGCCCTCCAAAATCAGCTCATCAGAGGCCCTAGAGCACAGTGAAAGCACATTGCTTCCTGAGACCCTGGGACCCAGAAGAGAAGGAGACCATATCTTTAAAAAAAAAAAAATTAAATTTGTTTTAATTAGTTACACATGACAATAGGATGCATTTATGCACTTCGATATCTCATACACAGGTGGGATACATTTTTCTCATTTTTTCTGAGTATACCTGTTGCAGAATCATATTGGTCGTGCAATCACATATATACATATAGTAATAATGTCGGTTTCATTCTACTATCTTTCTACCCCCACATCCCCTCCATATCTTAAAAGTGTAAACAAAAACAAATAAATAACTTTTTTCCCTCCAAATGTTATACATGAAGACCGCATCAAATTTCAATAATAGAGTTAAAAATGACATTTTCCAGATACGGAAACCTGGATGTATTCATCCACAGGACATACACAAATAGAATACTTCCGGGATCCAGATAAATCAAAACAGAAGTTGTCCAGGATTGAGATAAATGAGAAATGATGGGAACCTGGACTTGCGGATCGAAAGGAAGAATCAAATGCATGAGAAATGCCCAGGAGACACCGTGTTTGATCTGGGTGGCAAAGAATGGCAGCAGATATGTGTCCATCCATCCCTTCTGCTCAGATCCCATTCTTTATTGGACTTTGCTTACAAAACACAAGTACAATGGTGATGTTTATCAGAATTTCTCGAGGGCAGCGACAGGCATCCAACCAGGCACAGGGCACCTTCCACAGTCATGGTGACCTTTCCTTTCACATCATCGCCCTCCTGACTGCTGTGACAGGACCTCACCTCGTGGTGGCTCTGATTGGCATTTCCTTGAGAATTGATGGATGTTGAGCATCTTTTCTTTGCTCGTTGGCCACATACGTGTTTTTGCTTGGGTGGGATATCTATTCATATCCTGTGCTGTTTTTAATGAGGTTATTATTTTTTTTACTAAGTTCTGAGGTTTTAATAAAGGTTTAATTTTTGTGTGGTGCTGGGGACTGAATCCAGGGCCTTGTGCTTACAAGGCTAACACTCTACCAACTGAGCTCCAGCCCCAGCCCCAAACGTTGAAAATCAACCTCTTTCCTGATATATGATCTGAAAATATACTCTTCGTCCTATATGTTGTCTGTTGACAGCTGATAGTTCTCTTTTCTGTACAGATGATTTGTAGTTACATGTCATTATGTTGCTGACTTTGTCACCTGTACTTTTGGTGTGATATCCCAGAAAATAGTTTCCTATTCCAATGTCATGAAGATATCCAATTGTTTTTTTGGGGGGTGGGGGGACAAGGTTCACAGATTCGTGTCTGACATCTATGTCTTCAATCCATCTCAACTTGATCCTTGTGTGTGCCGTAGAACAAGGGTCCATCATTTTTCTTTTGCATACAAATATCTGTTGAAAAGACTATTCATACTACATTGGCTATATATGCCAGCGCTTTGAAAGATGTCTCCATGACATTGTATGAGGATGTTTATCAAGACACCCCGTTCGTTCCACTAGTTTATGGGTTTACTATTAAGCCACTATTCCATAATTTTTTTCTTTCTTCCTTTTTTATTTCTTTTGTGTGCAGGTGTGGTTTTCAAGTGTTGGTGATGAACTCTGGGTCCTGTGTATGCACACTAGGCAAGGGCTACATCTCCAAGATCCATCCCCAGCCCTAACACACGGTTTTAATTACCATAGCTTCAAAATATATTTAAAAATTGAGTGTGGTTCCATCAGCTTTGTTGTTTATCAGGGTTGATCTACCTATTCAGGGTGTTGTACAGTTGCATGTGGATTTTAGCTACCTCGTTTCCTATTTCTGTAAAATATCCTCCTGAGATTTGAATAAGGGATTGCATCTGATCTGTACATAACTCTGATAATATGGACATTTTGATATTGATTCTTCGCATCATGAATACGATGTGTGGTTCCTCTGATTCATGTTTGCTTTAATTTCTTGCATCATTATAGTTTTCTGGGTACAAGTGCCAAGTTCATGCCTCAGTATTTTGCTCTTTATATTGGTTTATTGTGGGGATTGTCTTTTGAATTTTCTTTTCACATATTTTGTGGCAATTGTAAAGAAACAAAGCAGAATTCTTGGGATGTTGCCTTTGCGTTCTGCTGAATGCCTGTCAGAATCCTGAAAGGAATTCTGTGGGATCTTTAGTGTTTATACCTATGTCAACACATCACTCGTGAGACAGTGTCTCTCCTTCCTTGGAATTTGTATGCTGTTGGGTGTCCCTATAGATGATCCGCATGTACTGAGCCACCTGTGTCCCATGGATAAACCCCAGGCTTTCACCATGGATGATGCTCTCAACGTGTTGAATTTGGAGGAGATCAAGATGGTTTGGTGCTAATTGTTCAATGTGTAGCCCTCCATCATGAAGTCCCGTGTCTCTGGGCCCCTTTTTGGAGGGGTGGGGTCTCTTCTGTTACTGGTTCACTCTTCTCCATCAATACTTGTTTAGTTCCAGTTTCCAACCTCAGTGTTCCGAGGTTGTGCGTGTCTAGGGTTCTCTTTTTCAATCTGGTTGTGAATGGAGACGTGTTGATTCACGTCTCTGCGACATCCTCCTGATGCACCCCCAAGTTCTAGTAGGTGGTATTTTGATCCTCGTTTTTTTCTCAAGGAAATTTCTGATTCCACTTGTGAGTTCTCCGTGCGTGACTGGTTAAACAGTGTTGTTTAATTTCCACATAGTTGGGATTGACAGTTTTCAGTCTTTAATTTTATCTTCACTCTATGGTGCTTGTTGATGTACTTGATAGGATATCAGATATTGATAGGATCGAGGAGGCTTGTCTGTGACCTGGTATGTGTCCTCTTATGAGCGCTGCTCTGAGCACATCAGAGTAGTGTATTCTGCCTGGGATGTTCTGCATGTCTCTTGGGTCCTTTTGTCCTGGTTTATAGCTACACCTTGATGTGCAGTCTTAAGATCGTGCTGCTGTTATTGTGATCTCAGCCGCCCAATATCAATTCATTGAGGACTTTCATTGATTCAGACTTAACAGCTATTCATAATAACTTAATCAGCCACTTTGTTCTGTCCTGTAATCCTTTGGACACCTTTCTCCTATGTTTCTATGTCCCTTTTCTGATTTTTAAAATGTTTAATCTCATATTCTTTGCTTCCTTTAATACCTACATTTTTATAAAGACATTTGATTCGAGAGTATTTTATATTTGGCTAATTTTGCTAATTAAATAGGATATGTGACACGTGAATAATTTTTGCAGCACTGCTATCATGATTGGTAAACTCCCACGTGTGACTTATTGTCTAAACCTGGTGTTCTGACAGCATGTACCTTTCACCCGGGAAAGGAGTTACTGCGATGCTGAATGTCTTTGGAACGCAGAGCAGCACAAAGTGGTGCCTAACAGCATCCGCATGGAGAACACCTCTCCTGGGAGAGGCTGAGATCAGAAGTGAGCTTCTCAAAGCCAATCTTCACATCACTGGGACAAATCAGCTCTGATGTTTCAAAGCTCACCAAATGACCCTGCGCCACGTTTAGAGTCTTATCCCTTACTTTATAGTTTCAGAAAGAATGTTTTCCACAACTGAGTTGATAATTAAAAACCCTTTTATGAGGATAAAATATATGTAACATAAACATTCTGACCATTTTTCAGCCTACAGTCAAGTGGCCTGGAATCTATTCACATTATTGCACGACGGTCACCACCACCCATGACAGCACTCACTTCCTAACTGAATAGAGGTTCTCAACATACCAAAGGGACAGCTCCCCGCTGCCTCCTGTCTTGGTCTCTGGACGCCCTTGTGTTCCTGCTCTGTCACTCTGCCCACTCCAACTCCCACCGTCTTTAAGTATATTTATACAATGTTTGTTGTTTTGCGACTAAACCGGCTTCACTGAGTAGAGTAACTTGCGGACTCAGCTAGGCGGCCCTGTGATCCAGAATATTCTTCCATTTTAAGAGTTGATGATATTCCAGAATATCAATTGATATATATATCAATTGATATATATTCTACAGAGGCCATCACGTATTGTTTACATATTCTTATGATTGCAGGTGTTGTTTCTATGTTGGAATGTTTAAAGCATGGTTTTAAGAGCAATGATGTGGAGAAGGCTGTTTGACTCCCTGCATGTTGAACGTGTGTGTGTGAGAGTGTGTCTTGTGTGTGTGCTGGATCATGTGATATTTCATGGTAGAATATGTTTACAAGTGTAGTTTGGAAAAATACAGATAATGGAGACGATGCACTGTTTGAGAACATTATAACTGTTGTATCTAAAAAGACTTTGCAATAACCCAGGTTATGACAAGTGACATCCAACTCACAGGCCCCTATTAAGGATCCAATGAGAAACATGACATCCCCATAATATTTCACAGAGTCCCATGGTTTGGCTTTCTTTGATGTACTTGCATCCACACATGTCCAACTGGATAGTTCAACAGAGGGAGTGAGACTTTGCATTGCATTTAAACCAAAGACTCTAAACACTCTGTCATGATAAATCACTCCAAATTCAGCACAGTTTCTCGCCTTAACAGAACTTATCCACCACTGGCTACTGAAATGTTTACTGTCTTCTCCCACTATATCTGAAAATACTAATTATACGTTTTTCAGTACAAATAAACACCAAAGGGCTGAACGAGGCATAGCTATGGGTCACGAGGATCTGGATACAGTAAAATATTGGATCATCCTTCAGTGTGATTCTTGCATAGGAGACAATGCTGTCCAAGATGGACATGACCACGAAGCAACTCATGAGCAGCAGGATTGTCTGGGTGGCCCTCAGTTCTGGGGATAACACTGGAGACGGGCTGGTGCTGTGGAGATGCCGGGACTGCCTCTTGTGCCTGCACAGGAGAGCCACCATGTATCCACTGGAGAGGGCCATGATTCCTATAAAGGAGACTTCCCTGAAGGTCAGCAGGGTGGACAAGCTGTGCCGGAGGAAGAAGGTCATGGGAATGAAGGAGCAGGATTCTGTAACGTACATAAAGTTGTCTGAGGTCCAATTGTGGGTAGCAGCAATGGAGATGAAGAGGTGGCTACTGAAGGATGAGTAGATGACCCACAGGAAGAGAAGGAAACACAGGTTGTGACGTGAGGATTTATGTTTGAACCTTGCCAAGCAGGAGCCCCTGGGGCTGAGGGTGATGGCTTGGAGGACACTCAGCAGGCAGGTGGCACAGATGGAGAAGCCCCTCATCAACCTGTACAGGTAGATGAGCAATTTACACGTCAGGTCATCCCACCTGCCCCCCTGAGGTATAAAAATGTCCGAAGCTATGAAGCCATTGATGAGCAGAATTACCAGGTGGATTAGGGCCAGGAGACCAATGGGCAGGTCAGAGGGCTTAGGTCTGTGCCCAGTAATGTGCAAGGAGATGTGGACCAGAAGAAGAAGGGCGTTGGCCATGACCCCAACGCCAGTCACGGTGTACACGGTGTTTCTTATGTGAATGTTACTGTACAGTCTGTTGGCTTTGTTCATCTTACAAGGGAAAGAAAAATATTGTGACCACAGTAACTCACAAAAATGTCTTTTTTTTTTTTTGCAAATCTGACCTCCTTCATCAATCTCAAATGAACACCACTTCCATGAAGAAAAAAAGAAGATTCATCCAACTGTATTTTTATTCCACATGAAAATTCAGTTCTGGTGCTGGGCACAGTGGTGTCTGCCTGAAATCCCAGTGACCCCAGACACTGAGGCAGGAGGATCACAAGGGTGAAGCCAATCTGGGCGTCTTAGTGAGACCCTGTTTCAAAATAGAGAGTCAAAAGGACCAGGTGTAACTTGGTGCTGGTGCACTTACCCACCAAGCAGCCCCCAGCACAAAATTTAAAAAAAACACCAAACTATGTTCTATTCACACCCTGGAGAATGCATCTCCACACACCGCCTTCTCTCAGTACCTTCCAATCTCACTGGGACCTCCACAGCGTCATACATATTGATACTTCAGTTTTCTTGTACATTAAGAATTGTCAGCCAGGTGCCGTGGTGCTCTCATGTAATCCCAGTGGCTCAGGAGGCTGAGATGGGACAATGGCAAGTTCAATGCTGACGTCACCAAGTTAGCAAGGACCTAAGCAACTTCCTGAGACCCTGTTGTCTCAAAATGAAAAATAAAAAGTGTCAGGGATTTTTTTAAAATGGGGTCATGTCATGGCTCAAAAGAATATATTTCCGTCCTGTTACCTCATGTCTGAGGTTGTCTGGGGCAAGACAGGAACTTACTTGATTTGCCTTTTCCTGATCTTGTTGGTCAGTTGCATAATAGGAGGTCTACAAATTGGGCCAAATTTCAGGGGGGTTGATTGCAAGAAACTGGAAGTAAGGCCCTCCCAAACATGAGTGTCCACAGACTAGACCTGCATGGAGTTACTTCATATCTGCACCATTTTAACTCTGGTTTATTTCCCACCAGACCAAATGTTTGTAATATATAAACAAGAAAATATTGGTGTGAACTCAGATGTCGGACTGGTTGAAGTTGCGAGTTGGAGCTACCATTTACGATAGCTTCTTCTTAAGCACCCTAGGATGCTGAGGTCCAGTCATCTCAATTGTCCACATAAAGAGTCCTGTTATGTGGATCCTTCAGAGACTATGTGGGAAAAAGGAAAGTGTGCCTACCAACCTTGGAAGTGTTCATGGCACATAATGAACTCTCTAGAAATGTTGGTTTCTAATCTTATTATCATACAGTTCTTCATGCACAAGAGTTGGGAGAATCAATGCAGTTCTTTTAATAACAGATCAGCTGTGTCTCTGCCTGAAAAGAAAGAGAAGAAAGAAATTACTGCAGGACATGGGGGTGCACGCCTGTAATCTCAGCAGGTCAGGAGCCTGAGGCAGGAGGATGTGAGTTCAAAGCCAGCCTCAGCCACTTACACAGGCTCTGAGCAACTCAGCAAGACCCTGTGTCTAAATAAAATATAAAAATAGGTGGAGATGTGGCTCAGTGGTTAATTGCCCCTGTGTTCAAACTCCAGTTAATAAAATAGAAAAACCAACATAGTAGAATATTTGCACAATCCTGTTCTGACAACTCGACATTTTATATCTGTCCTTGGAATTCTCTGAGGTGGCTATATAAGTCACATTGTTGTTAATACTCTAGCCAGAATAACTACCCTATGTTAGATCATTCTGGAAAAATTACCAAGAGCATAGTTATTTTTTTTTTCCTTTTTAAGACTTTACAACCAGAGTAGTAAATAGAACTACATTTAAAACAGACTTGGTGCTGTTTTAAAACAGAGTTGGTGTTTCAAGGTTTTAATTAAAGGACAGGTGTCCAGCCCATTCCTGAAAGATGAGCTCTAAGATGTTATCTCTATTACAAGTTCAAGGTGACATTTTTCTGGAATCAAATGCCCAAGACTGAAATTTATGCTTGAAGATTTGTTGAATGATCTGCTGGAACAATATTTTTTGGAAAGTGTGTGCAATGCTTTTTTAGGTTTCATACATGAGTAAGAACATGCAGTGTTTCTCTAAAAGAGAAATTCTCTACAGCATTAGGGAAAAAGTTCTTCTTTTACCAAATGTGGTGATCAGGAAATATACTATTTTATTCTTTCACTTATTCAATATATTCAGGTTTGCTACCATGACAAGCCCAGAAATGACACTAGGAAGATCTTCCACAAGGCACACATGATCACAGCACAGATGTTATTCCCTGACATCTTTATACATAAAATTACATACATCTGTTCTTATACAACTGTTTCATGTAGGTAACATATATTCTGATGAAGCTTTAAAGAATAACTTAAACATCTATGTTTAAGTATAATCGTTTATGTACAACACTTTAAAATAAAAATTTAAAATTTTAGTTCTAAAATTGTGTTCTCTTATACCATTTGTGTGAAATGGAGACTTTGCTTTCATTGTGTTTAATTCATGTTAAAACATGTGCAAGGCAAGCACACAGCATTGTAAAACTTTCAGTAACATGATTAAATTATTTAATCACTTCAAATCAGAGCATTCAAGGACATGATTTTCAGTCTTACTTCAAAATATATAGTTGTGCAAACATGAAAGTTTTAGAAAAAGTAGTAATTAGAAGAAGGCAGGAGTTTTCAAAAATATTCAGAAATTAAGACTACAGTTCATTGTTGCTTTAAAATGACCAGAAAGTCTTATTTGTCTGAAGACAAAACTGCACAGTAGCAGCATGAAAAAAATGAGTCTCCTTTCTCCAGAGCATGAAGGAATGTGAGCAAACACTTTCAACAACAAAAAATGGTGTAGACCCAGGAGCAGTTATGTATTTCTGAATCTATCCAGCTGTGTGCAAAGAGTTTATTTTTCCTACCAGGAATTGAACCCAGGAGTCCTCAACCACTGATAGACAGCCCGAGGCTCCTTCCTCATTTTATTTTGAGACAGGGTCTCACTAAGT